ATACTCTAAATATCTAACGTTTATTTTTAAAAATATAAAGATAGGTTTAATTCTTCTTTTGGCCTATTTCACATACTTTCTGTGCTTAAAAAAGGTTAAAATATTATGCTGATTTTTTATTAAATGTAGCCAAATTTGAATGTAAAATGAAACATTGAAGCAACTAAATCCTGTAATAATATGGATAATAATTAGTAAAAATCTAATCCAATTTTTCTATGTATACGTCAAATTCTGTCCTTCATAACAATTCAGTATTGTTCTGGCCCATCGTGTAAGGTTTCAATGGAGGATAGTTTGTGTGTGGACCTTTGTGGAAATATTGTCAATGCTGTGCAGTAAACCAATCGGTAGCTAATAGAAAATAAAAAAATCTTGTATTGCTGCCTAAAGCAGACAGAAAATCTGTGCATTATTTATTTTAAAGTTAAGGTTGCCCGTAAACAACTTAGGGAGAAAACTGGCCACATTAAACATTGTTTATATCTTTTCACCAATTTCATTTTCATAAGATTTTTTTTTTGTAAACAATGGCAAATTCCTCTTTAATCCCAGAACACTAAGCACTATTTACCGGGTATGTTATTACTAACTACAAGACAAATCAACTTGCGCAACATAAAACTAAAGTAAATAATTTATAAAATTTTGTTTCATTTTCCTTGGTTTTGAAAGACTTACCCAAAATAACAATGATTGATATTGTTATCAAAATTACAAATTCCATTTCGGCTATAAAGTCACGCAAAAATTTAAGGCTGGTATGATTTTCAATCATGATTTATAACAAAGTGATACTTTTTAAAATCCATTAAGTTATTTTTTTTCAAATAGTTACAATATTAAGTTAAAATAGAGAGAATGACTTAAATCATTACATAGTTATACAACGAATATCATATTTCTTTTAAACCTTTTCACATAATTGAAGAATTTCGAGAAAAAAAATACCAAAGTTATATACATTAAAATGAGCATGCTATGAAATGAACAATAAACCACTTTTGTAGTAAGTTATTTACTAATGGACTTGGATGATGTATTATTTTATCTAGCATTTCATTGTCTGTAGATAATAGCAAATTAAGAACAATACACACACCGAGCTTGTTTCAGGAAAAACACGATAATCTTCAAAAGCATATTGTAATTCTAGATTTGGAGTAAACATGTTGCTAATGCCACAAAGTTTATAACAATCTTAAAGAAGATAAGCATTAAATAAATGGAATTTTATTGATACTTAAGAAAAAAAAATTTAACTATTGTTAAAAAATGGAATTTAATCTTACTAATCGTTTAACTTAATGTTAACCTTTTTGTTGTATATATTGGTAAATACCATTTACAGTGGGGAAGGAACAAGGACAACTATTAAATAGAATTAATATTCTCAAAACTGTTAATATAGTAATCATATAAATATAGTAAGTTTTTTTTGGTGAAATAAGTTGTTTTACTAAGAGGTAGGTAATAAGAGAGAATTTTTTTGGATAAAAGAATGTCTTCTTTTCTGACCATGTGACAGTGTTGTGCTACAAGCTTATGCATAGACGTGAACACATAGAAGCTGATGAAACATAGTAAGCCACAATTCTAAAGATTTTGTGGGTTAGGGAGTATGCTCCAGACCTAAATGTACTGTATCTTGTGAAAAAAAAACTAAATAAAACAAATAAGGAAATGATCAATTTGAGAAACCTTCATGTTTATTCATTGTTCTTCACTTTTAAAGTAATTAAGGATAAGTAATATCACTTTACAATTTTGGTTTTAAGTATAAACATTAATACAATTTAAACATATTATTTAAATTAGATTAATCCTGAATCATAGAAAAGCAGATAAGTACTTTGAATAATCTCTACACGCGCCAAATTAATTCGACAACCTTACTTTGAAAATGCGCGCCAAAACGCAACAGCTGCGCTATCTGCAAACA